CTTTAGCATTACTCATGTACTATTTATTTTGTATTTTGTATATTATATAATTATATTAATTTCGCAGAACACTATTTAATTCCATCTGGTAGTATTTGCTTGGTGATCATTTACCACGTGCATAGAAATCCGGAATTTTGGCCAAATCCGAATATTTTCGATCCGGACAGATTTTTACCGGAGAATAGTAAAGGACGTCATCCCTATTGCTACATACCATTTAGTGCTGGGCCGAGAAATTGTATTGGTAAATGGCTTATGTAGAAATGACTAGAACAATTTAAAAATTTGGGTTTTTATTTTTGTATTTCTCATTTCACAGGTCAAAAATTTGCAATGCTTGAGCTTAAACTCTTTGTAGCTTTTATACTGTACAATTTTGAGTTAGAACCGGTGGATGAACTAGATGATGTTACATTTTCGGCAGATTTTACCTTGAACACGTCTAAACCACTTCGAGTCAAATTTATACCTATAAGATAGATACCTTTATAGAAATTATGCTTTATACAATAAATTTTAAAACAATGTTGTAGTTGTAGAAAATTTCTCCATAATCTGTTATTATTGTTAGGTAAATTAATGTGTAACTGTCTATATATTTAGAACCTTAAGTCAGTATTAATTTATTTTTATTTTTTTTGTATCTTTAAATAAACTCTTTAATGATCTCTTAATGTTTTTTTTTTCCTCACTATTTTCCCAACACCCAAATTTATTTGCTGATGAAATCTTTACGTTCTTTGCGGCACGTACATCCTTCCATCTTTAAATCGGCAGCACGAAATAAAGTCGTGGGTAGGTGGCTTTGGTCGGAGTCCCACAGTACTTGTCGCTTTCGAACGAGTTTTAGGTAACAAGTCTGCGTAAATGCATTYCTCACTACCTGTTAAACAAAACAAAACAAAACAAAATAAGGCACGTACAATTAAAGTCGTTTTTTACAACGTATTACTTCATTTCATTATTAAGGACCTTTCTTATAAATATATTGTTTATAAAATTTTGTGTAGTATTTCAAATTTCTTATCGTAGCTCTTCAGTAATCTACAGAAAAGACTGGAACAAAGAGATTTATAAAATATTTTTTGTGCAATATATTGATGATTTCAGTAGTTCGTTCAATAGTTTTTCAATATAGTTTGTACGAAAAAAATGGATATCTTTTTACTCATACAAATAAATTTTTTTTCCTTTACTTTTAACCCTTGGAAAAATCAAATTTTATTCTTATAAATCTACCGTGCGCGAAACTTTTTAATTATTATTATTTTTAAATTTGTATTACATAAAATGAAATGCAGAAAAATAAGAAATTATTTAAATATGTAGTTCTTAAGAGATACAGAAATGGTTCTCTCTTGCAGTTTTCATTTTTAGTGTTTGTTCAAAAAATATTCAAATATGAATGTTTCTGATAGAAAAAAATGCATCACTTTTTGCTTGTTCATACTTACAAAATTAAAATAAAATAAAGAGACGCTTATTTCGTATATTGATTATTACAGTTATAATATGTATTATAGAAATAAACTTATAAATATCTTCGAGATTAAGTAAGAGTACTACAAAGAAATGAATATCCTAAACTTTTAAAATGGATAATATTTTTTACTTGTTTTCATTAGTTTATCAAGCAAATGTTGTGTATTATTTTTATTAAGTTAGTATTGAATGACAACCTTAACAAATAAAAAGAACTTTATTTTACTAGATATTTTTCAAAGAATAATATTTTAATATTTCTTACTATAGTCAATTGAAAACTGATAAAATTTTCCAACTATCAGATATTCTTCTTGTTCTGCAATAAAATTTAAGATTTTTCGACTCTTCTAAATCTTATAACACAAATTAATAAAAATAGAAATAAAAATGATTTTAACAAGAAAGTCAGCATCATTCTATCTGAAATGTAGTCAAAATTAGAGAACCTTTATTTCTAAACGAAAATATGATAGAAAAAAAGTTAAATTATTAAAATGAATTTCAAGATATATCCTATCCAGCTTTTTAGATTAACATTCCTTGAAATATATTAGACTGCAAACACACATAGAGGATTAGGTTTAATTAATATTAAACAAAAACTGTGTGTGTGTGTGTGTTACACACTTTACATTGTTATGAACGATATTAAACATTAATAATTCGCACGTTTTTGTATCACTGTCTACTAAAAACTCCCAACCTTTTTTAGAGCTAAATGTCTGACAAGCAAAAATCTTATTTTTAGTGTAAAGAATTTCATGTATCTGTATAAAATTTGTCAACGTGGAATCCTTAGTTGATTATAATAAGCTAATGACAAGAATGAGAAAGGGTTGAAATAAAATGAGAGGGAAATCACGTGGAAGAACCAATAAAATTGTTGACTCGTCAGGGAATAGTCTTAACCCAGTGAACACACCAATGTAACCAAGACGTCACATTTACAGAACCAAAATTTTAGGTTACGTAAATCTTAAAATCACATGTATGAAAAAATGAGAGTCAAGGAGCCATTGTAACGAACAGAGGGGCTCGGAAATATCCGAATTATAAGAAAATGACAACGGAAAAAAAATGATACGGGTACAAAGAAACCATTTAACAGGTTAAGCGCTACGCCGGTCCCTAGGGACCGTCGGCAGACTTTTTGTTCTTCTATCGCTACGCGTGTGTCGGTCCTTGCGTACTTGTTAGACTAAACATTTAAATTATGCGATATCGGTTTTTTTTGGTTAATGCTTCAAGGAAAAGAATATAATACCTAAAAACATTCATGTAATTAAATAAAACAAGATAAGCAAAGGTGAGGTTTCTGTGTACATTGGTTACAAAAGGTTGTTACTTTTTGCGTTACATTTTTAGCTGTCTTTGGTTCTAATATTCGTACATTCTGATTATAGTATTTAGTGCAGTATCTTCTAATTTTGTGAGCTCTGCCTCTGAAAATATTTACAAATCTTTGAAAATATTGAAAAGGATGACATTTCTAATGAAAAGCCGGAAAAGGACGATGAGTGTATTCGAAATTTTTAAATGAGAATAAACTTAAATTACAGAAATAAAGTCAATAGAATTTTAATGTTACAGATTTGCAGTATAAGAAAAAACTTTCTATGCTTGATCTGTTTATAGCTGCATCTTGGAAAGATAATCAAATAGACGAGAAGGGAATTCGTGAAGAACTTGATGCTTTCATGTTTAAAGTATGTTTTCGTAAATGTATTTACATAGAAGAGAAATATGTAGAAAAATATTCTTTAATAATGATTTGATGTCATGGATACGAGTGTTTGTGCTAACTTATATGTACCTGCTGCTGCTGCTGCAAAAAAAGTAAAGAATACATCTGAAAATAAATATAGGTCTTGGAAAAATAGAACATTGAGAGATCATCAAACAATTTATTTTAAGACAAGAAATTTTTCTAGATCTATAAATTTTTTTTTTTTAATTACTATAAATTTATTGTATAAAGCATAATTTCTGTAAAGGTATCTATCGAATAGGTATAAATTTGACTCGAAGTGGTTTAGACGTGTTCAAAGTCAAATCTGCCGAAAAAGTAACATCATCTAGTTCATCCACCGGTTCTAACTCAAAATTGTACAATATAAAAGCTACAAAGAGTTTAAGCTCAAGCATTGCAAATTTTTGACCTGCGAAATGAGAAATACAAAAATAAAAACCCAAATTCTTAAATTGTTCTAGTCATTTCTACATAAGCCATTTACCAATACAATTTCTCGGGCCAGCACTAAATGGTATGTAGCAATAGGGATGACGTCCTTTACTATTCTCCGGTAAAAATCTGTCCGGATCGAAAATATTTGGATTTGGCCAAAATTCCGGATTTCTATGCACGTGGTAAATGATCACCTCGCATATACTACCAGATGGAATTAAATAGTGTTCTGCGAAATTAATATAATTATATAATATACAAAATACAAAATAAATAGTACATGAGTAATGCTAAAGTGCACGTATACACATATGCATATATTTTCATACTTAGCTGCATTTCGTGAGGAATTTCACGAGATATTATATGGACGCTTGGATACAAACGAAGCGATTCTTTTAAACATCTCTCCAAATATGAAAGTTTTTTAAGCGACGCTATTGTTATATTATTATCTTCCTGCATTATCGTTTTTACCTCATCTCTTATATTTTCCTAAAAATAAATACACATCACATGATTACTTATTGTCTAGTCTATGAAAAATGCTAAATCCGTACTACTTAGAAAGCTTTAATAATCTTTGATCGAATTTTGGTAGCGGTAAAACTTATTTTCAGATTTTATTATTATTTATTAGTATTAGGAGCATTTCACGTGAAGTGGACAACGAAAAAAATGTGAAGTAATAGATTTGGTTCATAATTAGCTTGATTGTACTTTTATGGGACTTCAATAATTGTACATCATTATTTTTTTTTTTTACCTTAGTTACCAATTTATGGGGCTTCAAAGAATTGACAAAATATGAGAAATAGATTTTTCTCCCCATAAAATGGTAACTAAGGTAAAAAAAAAAATAATGATGTACAATTATTGAAGTTCCATAGAAGTACAATCAAGCTAATTATGAACAAAATCCATTACCTCACACTTTTTTCTTTGTCCGCTCCAAGTAAAATGCCCCATTAGTTAAAAGTCACGAAATTTATTCAAACGATTTATCGATAAGTCCTTTAGAAATTTCTAGAAAACAAAAAACTTTTTCTTTTGCTAGTCATTTCAACTGATAATCTTTGCTGGTTACTTTACCTGGACATCTTTGTGTTTTGCAAACAGACTCAAAGCAAAGGTCAGTGCACTTGCGGTAGTATCGTGGCCCTGAAACATTTTTTTTTGCACAATATTTTTTAAATGTATTCTTCTAAGAAAGAACATTTAGAAAAACCTACTTCAAAGATGAAAGTATCAACTTCTTCTCGAATACCTTCCTCATCTATTTGATTATCGTTCCAAGATGCGGCTATAAGCAGATCTAACATAGAAAACCTTTTCTTGGCCTGAAAATCTGTAACATTAAAATTCAATTGACTTTATTTCTATAATTTAAGTTTATTCTAGCTTAAAAAATTTTAAATACAYTTATTTTCCTTTTCTGGACCGTCATTAGGAACGTCATCCTCATCCAAATTTTCAAAGATTTTCAAATATTCCCCATTAGTTTGTTCGTGAAAATGTTTCCTTTCTGCAATTATCTGGAATAAATATAAGCCATTCATAATCCGGATTGATATTTTGGAAAAATATCAATTTTTAAATAATTAGTCAGAAATACGTACATTTCTTGAAAAACTATGCAATGTTTTCAACGTTTCTTTTTGTAGTCTTCCTATTTTTGTAAATTGAAATGTAGTATCGTAAATGTACCAAGGTCTTGCCATTCTAATAAACAATAAATAACATTCTGTATTCTATTTTATTTTTTTTTAAGCGAAATGTTAATCAATTACCTATATRCAACAATGTTTCCATAAACATGAACAGCATCACGATACTTATTTTCCAGCTCGCTTTTTCCTGTCAATTTTGTTCCCATAGCTGTTTCTACAAAGAAAATTCGGAGATATAATTAA